TCGTCCCGACCTAATTCCTTTGATTTATCACGAACCTGTGGCCCATCGTTCCACACTTCTCTTTACTTCTTCGCGACTGAAGCTGCCGTGGAAAACACGACGATAACTCAACTTCACTCGTTCCGTAATGAAACTGTAACTCCAGCCACGTCATTTTTTCCCTTGCCAACGACAATTATTTACTTTGACTCCGGCTAACGTTGGAATTTCGTCGTTTCGAGGATAATGGATCGTTCGAAGGCGTGTCTCCCACGTGGGATTGCTTTTGCTAGGATATTTCGATTTTAAAGGAAACAGAGTAACGTTCCGTGTTCCAGGAACAGCAAGAAAACTTCTAACAAGATAAAGAAGATTTTGCGGACTTTGAACGCTGCTCCAGATTGCTTTCGCAGTGTTTCGAGAAGATTGATGGATTTTAAAAGAAGCGTTGCTTTTTAAAAAGATTAAAATTAAAAAATCTCCGCTTCAAATTATTTCAGAGTGATAGAAAAAGCGAATGTTTCAAACGTTGTCAAACATCGGATATGTGAGAAAGCTATTCAAAGCAAAGAAATAATTAATCGTCTACTTTCACCGATATCAGACACGCTTTTTTCCCCCCCTAGTTTATGCGTACTGAAAGGGATAAAAAGTTCTCGTTCCATCGTTTCATCCGCGACGTAAATCACAACCTGGCAAGGGCTTGTTCCATGAAAGAGCACGAGCGGTTCAGAAATTATGAATGAGTTGCACTTTGCAAAATTAGAGCTTTGCGTTCTAACGCGTACCGGCTATTAACACGCATTTCCTGCAATTTGCAGCTCACGCGTGAGATGCACTTTGACGGATGTTTCCTGGGAAAATTTACAACTACTCAAAGGTGTCGATGGAACAAATAATCCTTGTTGATGTTCCTATCGCATGCGGTTGTGGAAACGTTATTCTATTTACTCTCTACACACTAATTGATTTCTGATGATGATAATTAACACTCGAACGGTGCCGTGAAAATAGACACCGTTGTGTGGTAAATTTAATAAATAAATATCATTAACGATAGTATCACTCTGAAAAAGCTTTAATTTGAAAAGATTTTGTTTTTTTATCAGTGACGATAACTGTATAAATATTGTCGTAATTTCTTTCATTAATTGCTTTTTCAATTTTAACAGAATTTCAAAATTACACAGCTTGTTTTAATTAACATCCTCTGAGTTATAACACTTTAATGAATGAACACAAGAGACATTCATTTGCGGAATTGTATGTTGTACGAGAATAAAGGAAATGATGACATATTTTAATTAACAATTTAACGATAATTGGAATTAAAAACTTCAATAACAGTGATTATTTGATAGCCATTGTAAATAAAAAACAATTACAATTAAACTGTTTTGTTATATATTACAGAATAATAAATCACAAAGTTGGAAACTTGTTTGATCGATGAACATCATTTTCTCTCAACGATGTTAAAAAATTGTTTATCTTATCCGTGAAGAGATATCAAAAGCAGCTAGGCGTTTGTTTCTCTCACAGAACTAAAAAGTTTCTTGCGAAACTTTTCGTTTTTCAACCCCTCCAAGAAGTTAAAGTTTCGCAGAGTAGAAGTTGCCTTCTTATTAATTCTGTTTGACGATGAACAACTAGAAGCGCCCGCGTAAAACGGACGTCTATTATTGTAGCTGACTGGTCAAAGGTCTTCTCGAAACTTAACTTACTAAATTTATTCATAACTTTATATTTTTTATTTATTTCTGGTATTATTATAGCATTATATACCGAAAATCTTGAAACAACCCTAAAGTTCCTAAATATCTATATCGAAAGAGCACAAACTATAAATCATGAAACACATAATAGATCCTATTCGATTTTCCAAGAAGTACTTACACGACACTTCGATTCCAAGAGTTTCACGATTCTCCCCGAGCGGTTCGAGTTGAAACCTACGAAAAGTTTCTCTCGCCATCTAGATCTTCATAGAAGCCCAGCATACCCGGAAGTTTCACTAATTGTCCTTTCATCGGGCGAACAACTTTCGGAGCATGTCCGACCATAAATGATCCCAACCCGATCTCGACGATGTCTTTCTCCCTAATAAGTCTAATTCACTGGTTGGTCCTTAGGATCTGCTATGCAGATCAGCTCCTCCTCTGATTCTGCTCGAACTAAACTTGAAGTTTGCGACCGTATAACGTCCAACTTCCGGCTCAACCAGAGAGAGGCGTTACTTTCGATTTAGCTAGCCTTTGATACGCGACTCTTGTGACATTTTTGGAGCACTCATAGTTCAAAATTTCTATTGATGTTCGAAAGATTTGTGCAACGATAATTTTTTAATTATAATTTTGTAAATCTGGAATCTTGGTATCCAGATACCTATCCAGATCGTAAAATTGTTTGCGATCGAATCGACAAGCTTGGCGACTTTGTTTCATTTATTCGAAGAACGGTATCGTCTTTCCTTCGCGTTTCTTCACCTTTTTTCTTTCCAGGGGTACGTTTCAATCGACATGTTTGCTCGAAATGTCTGACCGGCGAGTTGGTCGTCGCGAGAACGGCTAAGAGGAACAAAGTGCAGAACCGGAAAAGATCTTAAGAGGATTTCGAGATCGCACAGAAAAGTTTCTTCCGGCTATAATGCACCGGAAACTTGTCTCAGACGTCTCTGGCTGGCGTGAATCCATCGGGTAGTAAATGGATGTAAACAGCTGAACGAATGAAGAATAATCCAAGTTAAAAAATATTTCCAACTCTAATTTCAGCTCGATTAATTTGATACATTATAAAAATTTCGAAGTATTTTACTTTTCGAGGGTTGAAATTAAAAATTAAATAAAAAGCCTCAGTATTTTTCGAATAAGACAGCCTGCGACACTTTCCAGATTCACAGGAATCGGTCCCGTTTCATTGTTAAAAATTTACAGGAACTTCGAGACCGGAAATAAACGGGACTCTGACAGAAACGGAAGAAGAAACGAACTCGTCTAAGTCGTCGTCGAGCGCAATTTCGAACACGATTCTACGCGTGTACACACAACAGGAGCGGAACAGTCTCGATGGGGGATCAGGATAAAACTTTTCTAACGAGTTTCGTGTACTCCCTATCCCAAAGCGAGTAGTTTTCAACGTTTCGAAAAAATATCTAGGTATTGAGGAAGAGGAAGTTAGTTATGATACCCAGATGAATAGCCGTATATATTATCTGGTGAAGCGTGATTCTATGGGATACACTAAATTGGAAATGTTCTATACGCAGCTTTATTTAAAAAAAAATTAATTTGAAAATTATTTGAGATATTTAAAAGAAATTTATAAAATAACTTTAAGAAATCATTCACACCAAATAGGGTTGAGAATGTAGTTTAATTAGAGTTCATTATATCTTCTAAATTTTCTATCAAAAGGTATCTTTTTCTAGCAATGATGAATACATTTCGAAACAAATTGGTCAAACAGAAATAAAGTGGAAACACTAATTAGAATTGTTTGATTCGGAGTCGAAGTCCAGCCAGAACTTCGTACGACTAATGTTTGTCAAATATTTGCCAAACGAGTTACGTAGTCAGAGCAACAGTTTGGATCAAATAAATTGTACTTTCATTAAATCCGGGACTAACTTCATCACTGCTGGGATCCAAGAGGCAAAGGATCGTCGAGGGATACGAATTACCTTGTTCCTTGATTGCAAACCTCTCTATAAACCTGTGCTATCCGATGCTCTAAATAAACAAATGGTAATCAATAAATATTCGAAATGGATCAACTGATATTTAGGAGATGGATATATCGTGGATCATCTTGTTTCTACCATTCAAAAAATTTTACGTATTTCGAAGAAAAATTCTTTATCCTGCCCGATTATCCTGCTTTCAAGCTTCATCTGCTTCCCGTTTAAACCGCACGATGCATTTTCGTGTTTATCCTGAAGATCGCGTCCGAAAAAACGACTACGCGGGCGAGCGAATAAATAAATGATAAGCGAACTAGGATTTCCCGGGGCCGATCGTCGTATTTCCTCGTGGATAATTCAACGATCGATTTGTACGAGCTAGCCGGGGAATAAATTGTTCGACGAAGAACATTACCGGGAGACGTGGAGCGTTCCAGACGGAAATTAGATAAAAGAACGAGGAAGAAAATTGAGTAAATTTCAGAGGATGACTCTATTCCCCCTTTTTCCTTAGGTGTTTGACGAAGAAACAGCAGGGAATAATACAGATAAATTTTAGTGAAAATTGAAAGATTCTTTTTTTAAATTAATACCAATTTCAATTGAAGACATTCTAATTTATGTTACACTTTCACCCGAGATTTTTCATTGCACAGGATATTTAATACGTTAAATATTACTGTAAAAAGTGCAATCATAAACGAGGTCGTTTATTTCTTTTTTTCAGAGTACCGTTCAATTAAATACCGTTGGGAACCGAATGAAACGTCGAGCGATCTCGCGTACTCGCATCGCCGAACAAGATTCTAATTGCACGATGGTCTCTTGCTAAATTAAATTGTGTCACCCGGTGCACTTCGACAGCACAGCCGAGTAATGGCACTAAGATCAAAGTGTGCTAACCCCTTGCTGACCCGGTGAACGGAGTTTGCAGTTCGCAGACTCGTACGGTGACACCAAATCACGCGTCACTGTTAATCCGGTCGATATAGTGATTTATAACTTTCATGAACTATGCTTTTAATCTTGGAATTTATATGATAGATAAATGATTTAGCCGATTCGTTTCAAAAATTAAAGCAAAGAATATTACATTAAATAGTATAAGATGCATGCGGTACGTCATTCATTATACTGTATAAAGTGCATAAAACGCATATGGTGCGTCATCTATCAAACTGCATTAAATGCATAAGACGCATATGGTGCGTCATCTATTAAACTGCATAAAATGCATAGGACGAATGTTGCGTCGTGTATCAAACTGCATAAAATGCATAAGACGCATATGACTCGTCACTACATTTTATAGATAATATTATATAAAATGTGAATCACTCACCAAGCTGACAACGATCACCACCTCTGCCTAAGGGACACTGACACCGTTGCCTGAAGGAGGCTTGCTTTCGTCTGGGAACTACGTCGTTTCCTTCGAGGTCCATCGTCATCGAGGCATCATCGGCTGCGTTCTCTGTTTCCTCGTCGAGGAGATCAACGTCATCCCCTCGAGATTGTTCGATGTAACAGTTGCCTGCTGGTCCACAATCTAACGAGCAAGCTGGTTCTGTACTGACGATACTCTCCATCGTCGAGGGTAATTTTTGCTCCAGATTCGGACCCTGGAACATAAAAATGAACTCTGGTGTTAGTTAATTGATTCAGTTGGAATTATCGAAGATTTGGGGCTTGAAATTAGGGGCAGGCTTGTATGAAAAGACCTGTTGCTCTGTCAGGATATTTTTAGCCGGAAGATCCGTCGGATAAGGGCGCGGGATGAAACAGAAGTGGAGGGTTTTTAACGAGTTTATTTATACTTTAAGTGTTGAAATAAGGAGAATTGTGATCTATCAAGTGGTAGACAGAGTTGGACACTTTTCAAATTAATTAGTATTTAGATAATTATTTATTTCTTAAATAAATGAATGAAAAGGAAGGAATTCACTATCTACTATTTTTCACTTTTTGCCCTTATAAAAATTGTATAACTTTGCGGATTTCTGTCGAACAAAATTCCATCCTCTTTTTGTAACTACATTACACAGGGTAACGTGTTTCACCGTTACTTGTTTCCAAAACAAAATTCTCCGACCGAACAATGGCCAACAGGATGAATTTTCATCGAAGTGAATAAGCGAGTGGCCGAAAGGTTCGAGCAGATTGCAGAATCGGGGGAAAAAAGCGGAAAAAGCAGAACTATTCCCATTCATATTGTTATATCTGAAATCGGAGCTGAAACTACGACTGACATATAACTTCGACAATTTTTCAATTACTTCCACGAGGTTCGAATCGTTCAATATAGCTGTTCAATAAAAATAGGAAAGAAAAAAGCCATCGATAAAGACCAACAATAAACAACAAACGTGATCTACATGGAATGACAATCGTTTGAAATTTGTCTGACGAAATTCCTACCGTTTCGTAGCTGAAATTTAAAAGAAAAATTAAAAAATAGATAAAGTAAAGGTAATTAAAATATCAAAGGTAAAGTTGACCACCCAAATAATTAATTATCATAGAAATTTCTATATTCAGGTTAATTTGAAAACGTCTCAAAATTCAAATTGAATTTCTGGTCCCATACCTGAGACGTGGCTCGCGGTTCGACTCGATCAAGAGGAGCATTGGTCTCCTCGTTGATCTTCGTGGAATTCGTGGTTGAATTCTCTGCGGGTGGATCCAGATGTATTGTGAAGGATGCACCACGCATGTAAAGGATGTCTTCGACTGCATCTTCGTCATCGTCTCTATCTTTATTTAATTCATCGTTCTCGACGTCTTCGACAAATTCACCCAGCTCGCCGGTCGACGGAGACGTCGAATTCAGCTCTGGAACAGAAGAAGATTCTAAAGAACATTGTACCAAAATGATGTATTTTTTATATTTATTATTAAAATCTCAAAATTCCTTGAGTTTTAATTAAAAATAATCACAAACATATATTTCTTCTTCCATTAAAAATTCAATTGAAATTTATGTACCTAATTCATGTTAAATCCTCTGTTAACCCTTTCACTAATTAAAAGCAATCTCGAATTTCCAAGGATCTCTTTTAACCACAAAGGATAAAGATTAAACCAGCACAGACGCCCAGCAACCCTTTCCAAATGATTATTTCACCAAAACCGGACGTTGTATTCGTAGACTTATTAAAATTTGAAGTAGTCGTGTCCTCGTATCCGTGGAAATCCTTCTTCAGCATTGTGCATGATAAATCGACGGGGAAACGGCAACTGGATCGTAGTTTGAAGAAAAAGGAAAGGAACGGATCGGGTCGAGGGTCGTTCGAGGTTCCGAAGGTTTTCAACGGCTCGATGCAACGGCAATTAAGCACTAATTGCTACAATCGTCCCGCCTCAACGTCTCGGAAAGAATCATTCTAAAGGCTACTCGACTCGAAATCGCGGGAATCCTCGATTGGCTCGCGATCGAATGGATCCTCGAGTATCACGAAGAAAGAGAACCGATAAAAAGGGGAAACGGAAAGAATGGTGCATTAATTTCGCGAGAATCTTAGTCGACGTTTGAATCCACCTGCTCTATTCATTCAATACAAAGAGAATCAACAATTAGTGCTAAAGAATGATAGCTTATTTAAATAACAATTCATATACAACGGACCAGGGTCCGATCATTACCCGAGCCAAATAATAAAACAGAAATTTTCATTTTATGACTGGCATATTAAAAAAGTGATTTTTGCATTTTACATGTTCAGTGGGATTTTAATAAATTTTCTGACTTCCTAACAAAACTTCATTACTGCACGATATTTAATGAAACGGTGGATTTTAATTTTCAACAAATCACGCGGGAAACGATGGGGCGTTCGTTTAAAATTAATGAGAACGCACGGTTCCGTTAATTAAAATAGATAGTCATTTTTCAATTGTGCAACAGCCACGTTCGCACCAACCGAACGAATTTATTTGCTCTATTATCCTTTCTCATCCGTTTGACGCGCAGGAATAAAAAAATAAACAAATAAATAAATAAATAAAAAGAATTAGAGGCACGTCGACTCGCCGCTCCGTCGAGTCGCGAATCGAGTGCGAAACTTTTATCGCACCCTCGATCCACCTATCGAACTAGCAGAATCGATTTTATGACGTATTGACAATGCTGCTGCGTGTTCGACCGATTGAACGTTACCCGATTTATTGCTCGTAATGAATGCTTCGTGAAAATAATATCGCCATCATTCTCCCTCGAACGAAAACGAATAACTCATCCGTCTCTCCTCCTCTGTATAATTAACGATCCTTTGATTTTAAACGATGGACTAGATAAATTAAAGGGGAAAAATTTAAATTATTTATAAAATGGAATGTAAAATTGAAAAGAGGAGAGTTTCACTGGTACGTTGATTACTGTAGTGGAAAAATAAAAATGGAATTTTCTACAATTCAATTGTTTTATATTTCTATTTAACTGCATCGTTTGCTATCCTGTATAATTGATATAAACTTCAAAATTGAAAAAAAAATACATATTTTCCCATTTTTATTTTACTCCACTTGGCTGATCACCTGTTAACCCTATTCTCCCGTTAAGGGTACCAACCACCCATCATTATTTTTATTTTATTTTAGACCCACGATGCGTCATACTCTTATTACACTTTACTTGTACGACCTATTTTACAGTATCCTATGATTCCACAGTACCTATAAATCTTCTTTATCCCAATAGATTCCTAGCTTATTCCAACCTGTCTCCCAACCATATTTTCTCAGAAATAAAACTGAATCCAACGAATAAATAGCATGTTGTTTCATTCCTTATTCCAAGTTACATTCGACATCTTACACAACAATGTACCCTGCTTTGTAGTACATTTGCATCCAAGCTGGTAGCTGATTCACCTAGCTGATCTGATTTCGTATCACGAGTCAGGTTAAGTGAAGTTCATTCGCCGATGGAATTTGACATAGTATCCCGTTGGATACGTTTTCCGCTTGGTTTCAAGCGAACCTTTTATTCAATCGGCTCGCTTACCTTGCATTATCTTCTGGGAGGAAAGGACGGTATACCGGTTCAAAAATCCAGAAGATAACGAAAACGTAGATCATTTGCTTTTCATCCTGGTTTCGTTCGGTTACGATTATAATTTAATATAAAGTAAGGGAAAAGTGGTTATTACCGTAAACAAATGGAGAAGTCTCGTCGAATGTGATCAACGACGAATCTGAAAGTTGGATGATTCTTGAAAATCATAGAAATAATGAGACGTGTTTCTATAACGATCTTATCAGAATTTTATTACAATACTCTTCAATTTCAAATCCTATTTTTCTGTTTTCCAATATTGATAACTTTTAACTCGTAGAATTATGGAAAATGGAAGGGGGTAAAAAGACCATAGGAATGGCAATAATCGTAGAACACAGTCATAAAAGAAAGAAACTACAGTAGACTCTCGTTATATTGCCACGAAAGGAGATATAGTACCGACGCCTTCTTCATCGACATATGCATTCGACAACTATACTAGCAATTCTCAGTAGGTCACGATCAAGTTGTAAAATGTTAGAGTGATAATCTGTAGGAGGTAGATTCCAATATCAATAACTTACGAGTACTACCCTAGTTTCCTACCCTCCTAACACCGATAAGTTTGTACGAGTAGAACTTACAAGGATGGTTCTCAATAATAATTGCTCGTGTCATCTGATACTAACGATTCAAGCGTCATAGGATCACAGGACACCGATACCGAATATTGGGTGTCAAGCTTGTTAGTATTCATGCGACTCGGGGGATCGTTGTTAATTGTAACTCCTTAATCTTCCTTGCTATTGGCTGATATAACTCCAATATAGATAATGCAAATCATCAGAATGGAAGATTATAGATTTCTCATTATATTAGAACATTATTATGTTTGATGTCACTATGGCTAAAATTTTTTTTTTAATTTTTCTATTTCAAAATGAAAAATCAACTTTCAAATTTTTAATAATTTCTATAAGAATAATTTGATTTTTTTTTTTTTAATTTAAAAGGGCATTTAAAAAATGTTTTTTTTTTTTCTTTCAATTTATTATCAATATTCTGGCAGTAAATTCTAGTTACTTTAAAGTATCTTGAAGAACGTGTTTGAATTTGCATATCAGCGGGAGGTTTCATGAAATTTAGCAAGCGGTTTATGCGCGGATCAACTTGGAAGCATAAAGCATAAAGTGTGCCAGCACGACGAAGAAAGATGTTTCGAAGATGGAAAGATGAAACGAGGTGCTTGTAACGGGACTTGCACTTCCCTTAAAGGCGATATAACTTGAAATTACGTTGTTGGCTTAGTGTAATAATAATTTTGATTCACGGCACGTTTCCTCTAACGCTTCCACTAAATTGCCAAGTTACAGTTTAAACTCGCGCTGAATTATTTGATAGTCACCTGTGACTTTCCACGATTTATTAACCTGCCAATTCATTTACAGCTGTGCTACTTAAATCATCCTCGTCATAATTTAATATTCCTCAAACCTTGATCAATTAGCAACTCAAATTACATTACATTCTCGCGCCACTTTTCAAATGCCAGAATTATAATTGTAAACGATGCAAGAAATTCAATATAATATATCTGGATTATAATCTGATCCTTCAGGAAAGACACGAATTCCAACGATTTAATAACCACTATCTAATAACCGAGCTTCATTTACAGAAGGAATTATCCTTTTGAAGTTCGCTGGAGGACAAAAGACAGAAGGATGAAAAACAGCTACGCTGTGGACGAACCTTGAAAGAAAATTCGAAATTCCACCGTACGAGCTGCGATTAATATTGAATGGACGACGACAAAAGGGGTGAGAGACAATGGAGATTCAGCGGGCGAAAGAAAAAAAAAGAACAAGCAGTCGTTGGAAGAAGGAGAAATAAGTTCCGAGGAAAAAAACGAGCTCGTTGAAACGGTGAAGAAGAAATGAAAAGTCGAAGTGACAAAAAAAGAGGAAAAAGGGAAGAGTGGACGAACGAAACGCCTGGCTTCATCTTTCGCACCCTTCCTGAAAGGCCGTCGAGAAATATTCGTGAAAATTTTACAAGGCAGCTAAATGCACTAGAATTAGCGACACGCTTGAATAAACGTCCGCTTATGCTCTGGTCCGAGCGTTCTTCAACCACTTCAAGATTCAAAGTTCCACTTTGAGATTGAAAAATTCTGCTTTCAGGCAAAATTTTCTTTAAAAAAAGGCTCACTTTCCTTCGCATTTAAGTCAAATTACTGAACGAAATTTCATTATTCTCAGTTTGCACTTTGATTCTGACGCTTCTAATTTCAGAACTCTAATGAACCCTTCTCGGATCCGATATCTTTCCCCGCATCCTAAAACTGTCCGATGCACGTCGCTGTACAGATGTCCCAGTTTAATTCGAAAATGGATTTGAAAACGTGCTTCAATTGAAAAAGAAAAAGGAATCAACTAAGGTGGAAGGAGGTTAAGTGGATCATTAACCAGGAAAGATCTGTATTTGCTGATGTCAAGGTTGTTTCAGAACGTACACGCACCTGTTTCTTTAATTAAACAATTTGAATATAGAGGGTAAATGGTTAAACGGAGCAGGCTATGCCCGAATTAATGGAAAATCTTGGATTTTCAGAACGAGACAGATTGCGTATCACAATTATACGCAGAGATAGATCGTCGGTTTAACGAGCTGAACGACGCGTTTCGAATATCTTCGCAATTTCACGGACGCTTGGCAGCTTTCGCGGTAACTCGCGATACGGCATTCTATCGGCGATATTCGCGTTCGCCTGTCTGCTCCCGAAGTTATCCCCTCGCGTCGAATGGATGCATTACTTCCAGAAACTGAAGCCGGA